CTGTTTACCGAAACCGAGGACATTCCCAAGCCACAGAGCATGACCTAGGAAACTCGCATCTTGTCATTTTGTCTCTAAATTCAGTGCTTATCTTCCGCAGAGCGTTTTCTGCTAACGTAACCATTATTTAAATCATGAAAACAGAAATTCATATTGCGCCGTTGTCCTTGATGTTTGACATCGTATTGAAATTTTGCACGAATCATCCAAGGTACGTCTAAAGTTTTCTGCTGCAAAATGCAGATGTGAATCATGAAGATTTGGAAGTGACCCTTGCAAGGAATTTGTCAGGGTTCCGGAGTGGAAAAAAAAACCACCAGAGATTCGTTCTGCCTGGAAACTCACAAGCTCCACCTGTAAATATCTGACTAGGAGAGAACGAGGGTTAAATCGCCCTTGAATAGACATAGCCGTTCATAGCAATTTATATAATTATAGAAAATGTTCCAGTCAAAATGGATTCACAAATTCTTCACCCTGCCTGAACAAATCATCTTGCTCATTGCAAACCAATGCGAAGCGATGGACTTCTTGAAGTCCTCGAAGATAACCGATCCTCCCGGGTCCTCTCTAAGACCCTGTCTGTCATACATTATACAGACTCGGTAGGTTTATCTGGACTCTACCCTTCTGTAAATTTCTCCATAGTATTTTTTTTTTCCCTAGTACACAGGGCCATGAGAAGAACTTTCTGGGGAGTGATTCTCAGTAACTGCCTCCAGTTACGGTAAGGTCACGTGCGATCGAAAATTCATGGTCATTGAAATTTGTAAAAGGATAATTGTCCTCTGATATTTCAAGGGCTTTTCTTTCAAGGAATCATGAACAAACGATGCCTTCACCTGAAAACTATAGTTGAAAAATGACAAGTGGCTCAGTGTCTTTACGAATTGCAAGCTAATATCGATATTCAGCAAAGTGGGATGGAATGGTGGAGACGTTTAGTCGAGTTTTAGAGTTGTGCTCTTTTTTGTACCAGGTTGTGTGATTGTTCTAGAAGTTCATCGTCTTCCATTTGGCCTGATCTTTTCCGCATCCGAAATTGATTTGGACTAATTTCTCCAGTTTCCAGCGTGTACTTGCTACGATTATTGTCTCAGAACTTTTTTTCGGAGTTTCCCGATTCCAATTTCTTTACTTCTGACCTTCCTGAAAGTTGCGTACCTCCGTGGTGGAAGAAATGCACGCGTTTTTTCTATATTGCGCTTTCAACGTTAACCCCGTATTTTTTTCTTTTGCACGACGTGTAGTGATTTAAGAGTTGGAACTCGCCACAGTGGAAGATGTCGAGCCGACAGTCCGCTTTCTCACTCACTTCACATTCATAAATATGCTCGATGGGACGACTGTGCTCGTCATCTGGTCCAGTGAGTTTTCAAGGTTCGCTCCTCGTTTTTTTTTCGCGGGAATTCTCTCATCTTTTCCCACTGCGTTTTCGTTGGGCACGTTTAGAACTGAAGATGGAAGATGGAAGTGTGGAACAGAGAATTTCATATATTGGCGGCCCATTTTTGGCGTAATGAGACATCAATTTAGACCTTTTGCTTATTTTCGAAGGATCCTAGCATCATATACCATGTGTGAATCATGAAATTTCCCGAACAAGTTGGTGGTATTTTCGCGGCAAATGCTTCATGGAGAAAGCTGACAATCTTTATTTAATTATCAATAATTATATTGGGGAAAGAAATTGAACAGGAATCTTCCTTCATCTTGATATGGCCCGGGAGAGGTTTCCCAGAGCTGTGACCTCAATGCCTGTTTTAAAGAAGAGTGTCGTGTACTCGTGGAGCCTTTTGACCCCTCTCACCCCTTTCGCCCTCTCAATCGGGCATATTCACCTTGAGCCAGAGGACTACTTTTTCCGACCAGCCTTGCCTGGTTCCTCCCTTTAGATGTTGGGGGCATCTCCATTTCGTGGCATTCCTAGGTGATACTTGGGTGTCATTTTCCGAGCAATCGAGGAGTACTCTTGGGGCATTTATGACGGCATTCGTGAGACATTTCCTGACAGCACTGGTTGGCACTCGACAGATTGCCCTTCTCCATTCATTCTGACCCTGGCCGCTGAGAAGAGTGCTCTTATCTCCATGCTGAACCTTGAGGCTTTCCGCCCTTCCTCTTCGAGTCTCTTAGTCTTCTCTTCGGCGTTAAACTCCGATAAGGCACAGGACATTTTGTCCCTTCTCCACAGACTCTCTTCTACTTCACATCTTCAGCCCGGCGACCTCATTTGTAAGGCCTTTCCTTGTTTTAGCCGTTATTAAATTGAAGTATCCAGTTATCCCCTGTCCTTTTCTACAGGTACTTGCCACCTCAAATCTTATTCACACGGTGTACGGTCCCGAACCAACGTTTTCACGCCGCACCGCTAAGCCACGCAGCTGTCACATGAGGCAACAAAACGCATCTACCCACGTGACATGCGCATACCCACGTGACTCCCCTTTGGCTAAAATAAAATTGGGATACTCGGGACGATCCTGGTCCACCTATGGAAAATATCTGACACCTCTTCGCTTCCTATCAGCTTTTGTTGTGAAAAATAATTTTTTGAAATCTTGTGCACCCCACTGAAGTGGTGTACTTTCTCTTCCAATATATTCGTTTAAAAAACCAGCGAAAAAAAAATTACTCTCTCACAGGTGCAATGTTCCTTTCCCGATCCATTCACGTCACCAACAAGCGAAATTAAGAAGTCTAGCAATTCTTTCTGACGAAATAGGAAACTGTGGCAGTCCATCGAGACCGTATCCCATTGATGGCTATGGTCTGAAGTGGAATGGCCTGAATTGAGAATGCATTTCAGTAGTCTTTTAACAAAGCTATTCTTGGGCAGGAAGTCCTTCCTACGATATCTTCACGGTGACGGCTGCTCGGCCATGCTTCTTGATACCCACAAATACAGGTTGCTCCTTCAGAGTGCTCGAAGTGAAGGTGGAGATGAATTCAGTCCCAGATCACGTTTTTTCATTGTGTTCTGATCGTTCACGTGTGAGCTTTGATCTTGATCTACAGGTTGTCGTTGAATGATCTTAAGGGGCCGAGAGTCATTATACAGTGGTACCTCGCATAACGAACGCAATTCGTTCCAGCGGTGCGTTCGTTATGCGAGGTGTTCGTTATGCGAAACACGATTTCCCATAGACGTCTATGGGAAATCATGTAGCTCTGGGAAACCTCTCCCGGGCCATATCAAGATGAAGGAAGATTCCTGTTCAATTTCTTTCCCCAATATAATTATTGATAATTAAATAAAGATTGTCAGCTTCATCTCCACCTTCCTCATGTGAACTAATGTTAGTATGATCCAGGGAATTTGCTCATCAAGTTGGCAATTTATTATAGCTTTTCTAAGACAAATATGAACAAACGGAAGTCAAATGTGACTAAGGAAGGTCAAATGCGTTGTTGTGCTGTTTGGGTGCGTCAAGAACGACATAAGGAAAGTCAAATGTGTCGCTGTGCTGGATGTCGGATTTTAGGGAAAAGCTTGTTCAACATAAGGAAAGTAAAATTCGACAGTTGTGAGACTTCAGGCTTTGTCTCTTGGTCGTGCTCCAAGAGAGATGCCCTCTCCGCGCATTTCCGTAGAAAAAATATTCAAATGCAAATTCGCAAGTGCATGTGCATGCGGTCTCACTATTCCATTTACCATGCAGACAATGTTTGATTTCAATCCATGAGAGTGAAAACTATAGGTAGTATCCAATGGTATCCAAGATTCATGGAAAGAGATCAAACTTCTCATGCAATATAATTGTTAGAGTCATCATCTCATGTGGAGCAATTTCCAATACTGGGCCTCGCACGATGTTCATAATACACGTTTGCTTACGTTAAGTATAACAGATATTTTGCTTGCGGATTAGACCTATACCTACAGGTCAAGGAGAAGCCTTAGGCATCGATTTGGCATTTGCATTTCTTGTGATGCCAAAATCTGCTCCTTCCGCAATTTTTTGATGACACAGTCCAAGGGCTTACTCTGATAATGACAGCATATCGACATCCTTGGCTATAGTCAATAACTTCTATTATTCATAATCTGACATGAAAAGATTGCAATTACAAAGAATTCGTGAATTTTCATAAAGAGACATGAGTAACAAGAATGAAAATCTGAGAGAGTACAAGTCTCCTGGCACGACTGAGAAATTCAACTGTCACATTTGACTTTCTTATGTCGAACAAGCCTTTCCTTAAAGTCTGACATCCAGCAGAGCGACAAATTTGACCTTCCTTATGTTGCTATTGATGCTTCCAAACAGCACAGCGACACATTTGACTTTCCTTATCGCATTTGACTTTCTTACGTCCATATTTGTCTTAGAAAGGCTATATTACCTGAGTAGGACTTAAGTTCTCTTGGAAATGAATAGCCAGAGGTTTAATTTCCACCTCACTTGCCCATTGCTAACTCGGTGTAGAGAGTTCTTCCTCCGTGCTACTCAATATCATAAGACAAAAGTGATGATTGCAAGTCGGGATTCCCAACATTGGATAAGCTCTCCGTCAACATGGTCGTGATTTGGCTGAAAGATCAAAAACTTTCGAAAGGCTTCTCAGCATGTGTTCTTTGAGTTCCTTGCATCGGTCAGAAACATTTATATTTCGTTCCATAACTCAGTTTTGACAGCTTGACTTTTGATTTTGATTATGTGAGAATGTTTTTACTCTTTTCCGAAGGAAAGTTGGGCTTAGGCCCTTCCTAGATACAGAATCTACCAATTTTTCTGCTAAGTATCAAGCAAGCATACCCCACCAGCCTGTATATGTATCATTGCCTACGTGTCGGGGACATTTAAGTCCTCTTCTTCAGGTTGATCTAAAGTAAGAAGATGTAGGAGAGAAGAAGGAAATAGAGATAACGCCTCATAAAAAGTGATGAGAGGAGAGGAGGGAGAAAAATAAATGAAACTTGAAGTAATCTCGTTTTTGCATCTTCACGTCTCATTCTTTTTTATTGCATTCTTTTTTATCATAGCGTTTAATCTATTCTTTTTCCTCTTCCCACTCTTCTAATTTTATTCCACCGTGAAGAAAATGACTTTCTGTCTCCGAAACGAATGCTATCATTGTAATTAATTGACTTGTTAAGGATGCCTGTTTAATACTTATTTTGCAATACTTTTACTGACCCCTCTGTGTCCACGTTGATCCTAGTCTACAGGAGTGTAGTGGTTGAGTGCTTGATGTTGAACATTTATCTATTTATAGAATCAAGAATATTGTGAAAACTTAAGTTGCTGGTGACAAGAACACTCATTTCATGAAATCCCAAGACAAAAGATCAAATTGAAAGAGAAACTATAATTGATGACACTCATTCTTGCGCCCGTTTTTTCAATCGTTGACCTGTGAAAATGAAAGATACAATACCATCAATCACATCATTTTTAATGTTAAAAAAAAGAACCTACAGGGAATTGAGCTCACCCGATTGGTCTATAATCATGGCATATGGCACTCATTTTTGTGCCTGCTTTCCCAATCATTGACCTATTTAAGAAAAAATAGGACGTAATGCCGGCATCCTCTTCATAGCAGCAAGCTCCACCGAAGAAGAAGCACTCACCTGACAGACTCTATTGCAGTACGCCACAGACTTACAGTTGGAGCACAACTCCTCAGCAGCCTTACTACAGAAATTGCATGAGGTTGGAAACGTGAAGTCCTGGAAGCCCTGCAATGATGATAATATCCAATTTCCCCGTCCTAAAAAATGCAAACAGATTCCAGGTTTTTCTGCATGAAACATACGAGGAACTCACGTCATGTCGTGCACTTATTCCAAATTCTTCCTTTTTTGAAGCCATCACTTTCAATCCAGCTGTCTCTGGTCTGAGACTGGCAGTCGGCACTGACGCATTTGATGAATATAGAACTGGGGCATTGACGGGATTCTGAGAATGACTCGGTGGGGCAGGGAAATGTCCAGGTTGGCCGGTCATGGGATTCAAGTGCGGTGCTTTGGGAATGCCGTGATTCACTTCAGAGGAAGTAAGGATCCTCAAATTACCCATTGTAGTAGAATTCAGTCGCTTACGTAGTATTGAGTTGGAGATCGCATGGGCCTGAGGATAGCTGATAGTCTTGTGAACGCTGGCCACTTGGGATGAACATGGCAAAGCAGCCTGAGTAGAAAGGAACGACGTAGGCGGCAGTTGAGGGACACAGGCAGTACCCATACTGGAGAGTCTGGATCGTTTGTTTGCAATCGAGGTTTCTACAGGTGCGGGAGATCGCTTGAGGACTTTGAGGATCTCGATCTTTCTCATTATAGAGCCTTTCGCCGTGTCGTTAAACGATGCTGACGTCCCAGCCATCATTGACTGTCGTCGTGGCACAGCTGGTTGTAGGTGCTGCATGGCTGTGGTTGGCAATGACTGCTGCTGCCGTTGCTGAAAATCTCTTGCGGTGCTTTGCCGCGCAAAAGATGCTTGTGTTGGCAAAGGTTGTTGCTGCCCATTTGCAGCAAACTCAGGCTGCTTCCTATGAGCTGCAATAGCCTGGGGATTGGCATGTTGCCTCTCTGGCATGAAGAATATTTGAAACCTGAAACCAAGAGATAAAAATACCTGTAAAAGCTGCAACAGGGGCAAGTAGAGTCTGATTGGTCCAGTGCTTTCACGACTGAATCCAAGTCACCTAGTGGAAATAGTTCTTAAAGTCCAATACGATAGCAGAAGTATCCCTTCATAAGGTAATTCTGATGGATGTATGGATGTCTCTTACGCAATTAACCAGCAGGTCAAAATCACCATGTATGGGCTCTTGAAAAGATATACAAATAGAAAGCATTGGCAGCGTTGTGTCTCTATTTCACCTTCCCCAACTCACGAGTCTCGGTTTCACCAAGCCCAGACACAAACCCAGACAGCGTTCGCAGCAAATGCAGATTTGGGGCTGATTGCACTGCCTCTGTTAAGTCAGGCACTAATGCAAAGCCTGACTTAGGGAGTCTGTCCCTAACTTTAGCTGATTGCACTAACCCTGTCAAAGTGTCACTGCAACTGAGGCTGAAACCTGACTTTTCCAAGTCATACTTTTCGAGAAGCCTTCGAGAAGACTATTGCAAGTCTGACTTTGATGGAAAAACTACCATTGACCCAAATGAAAATTGTCTGGAGAAGATGTCGCAAGAGCAGACGTCTCCTTTCTTCCCCACCTCCTCATTTACAACCGTTCCATAAAACGATGAACGATAGCATGCTCCTCGAAAAAGGATTTCATTTTCAGATGTAGAGCGTGTTCACTCGAAGAACTCTTCTGAATCTTTTCTCTGAACACACCAATCAGTTTCGTAATTATTTATGCGTACTATAACGAATCGCGTAATCCCATACTGACCTATGAGTAAATGGCTGATATTGCAATCGGTTTAGCAGTTTTTCTTATTTTTCTTTTCACTTTTTCATTCCGCTCCACAGCAACTCGTGAAGTTTCGCATCTGGCATCCTACACGTTGCAATCTCCTCCACTCCACGCGACGCAGATGCGCAACTGAGCGAGAACTTTCTTAAGTTTTGTGGAACATTCGCGCAGACTTAAGTCGTGCGAATGACAGATTTTTTAAAGTTAGATGATTATGATACATTCGAGGGATATAACTCCACTTGTATGGTGACAAATGAAATGGAAGATGGTTCCTGGCATAGGATTTTCGTTTCAGTTTCTCGGAGTCATATTCCCATCCCAATCGAACATCGTCACCTCCACCCGCCTTTTCCCCTAATGAAGGGAATAGGCTTATAGCAGCAGGGTGTTTCCATTTATTCCATTTGCACAGCATCGCCAATGTATTTAATTTTAATTTTAAAAAAAAAACAATGGGAGCGTTGAGGAATATGCTGATAGCTTTGAACGTGCCTCTTTTCCTTTCGATTCTATCGAGACTTCTTCCATCCGAAGAAGGAAGAAGTCCTTGGAGGTGGATTTTGTAACTTGCAAAACTCGATTCACTTGACTTGCCAAGTCGAAGTTTATTACATTCTTGCATCTATATGTATATTTCTCTTCACATCCCTCTGGTATTTGATGACAGCGTGAATGGAATGGAATGGAATGGAATGAGATGGAACCGAAAGTGGCATGAGGATGTAAACGAACAAGGAGGGAAAGGAAACCGTCCAGAAGGGCCAGAAGGCAGGATTTTCAGCCTATTTGCTCTCTTTCGACTCATCACATGGCCCTTTTCATTCTGTCTTCATTATCCTATGCCAATAGAGTCTTTTCTTTTGGTGTTCTGCATCATCTCCAAAGGAGATTATGACGTCGGTGTTTTGGTATATGTTCGATCATTCTCCTTCCTCCTTCAGCTCTCTCACCATGAATTGAAATTTTCCACATGTGTGGCTCTTTCCCTACGCTCCATCATGCACAAAAATAAGATTTTCCTACTTCCCAAGCATAGTCAGTCTATCTAGACCCCGACAGAAGGGCATGGATTTTGAAAGAAAAATGGAACGGCGTTTGTGGGCGTGCAAAACGTCGCACATGTGTTTATTCGCTTCCGTAGCTGCTCCATGCCTTCAGAGCGTGGAGGGAGGGAAGGCAATTGTGCATTGGCCGGGATTAGCATGAGTGCCCGGCACTATTCACGTGATTATCTTCTCCATCTGCTCATTATTAACGCCAGATGAAAAACGAAAGTCAAGAGGGTGACTCTCAGGTAGAGAAAAATAGGACTGAGGGTAGAAATAACTCAAGCTCTCCTGAGCAACGATGAGTCATGTTTTCCATCGCGTTATTTCCCTCTCAACCCTCCTCTCAGATTCAGGTAGGATGGCGGATTGCAATTCTTCCCCCCCCCCCCCTTCCCCCCAATCCCCTTGGTGCGGCATTTAGTCCTGCTGCTCTGTTGTGAGCCAGGAAAGGGAAAAAAGGGAAGCACTTTGTGACCAAACAAAGACAGATCAATAGAGAGGGAGAACTTCCGAATTCCCTTTCGCATTTCAGAATGAGATATTATTTTCGCTATGGTTGAATACATGCATAACTTTTAACTGCAGAGGCAATAAGGGACTTCGTCTACAGTCGTTCATCATGATAACTAGACTTTTGTGTCTCCAAGTAAGCCTTTGTACTGCACATTTTTCCAGACTCACCATTTTAGGAAGCGACTTCGTTCATCGTAGAATAGAAGTGGAGGGGACATATTGAATTTCTCCTTCAAGTCGATGTAGATGAGGGCCCTGATGAAGGCCTTGCTCCTAGTCTCGATGAGGAAGCGATCCCCTTCACCTGTCGTCTTCTCCAGGACGAACTTATTGAAGAGCAATACAGCCAGCTGTAAAGCACTGAACACCAAGATGGGCGGGTATCGGGTCTTCAGAAGTGCAAAGTCTTTATGCAGGACAGGATAGCGTTCCACAATCAGACAAGAGAGAATCAAGAGAACCTCCTCTGCTAGAGGGCCTCCCGTGTTCTTTGCCATGGTCATCATGAATGCATCCAGAATACAGTGCATCACTTTATATTCAGGTGGGATGCAACTCAACACATTCGTGAGGGGTCGTTTACTTGTCAATTGGTCAAACAAGAACCGGACCAGGGCTTTGTGCTCCGGCTCCCGGATTTGTATACCCTGTTGTTGTTGAGCAGCATTAACAACAGGTTGTTTTTTATGTTGGTGCTGCTGACAAGCAGTTGGCACCCCATAGTCCACTGGCGATATAGAGGGCGCAGGTTTGGTCACGTTTCGCACCCTCTCTAAAGCAGTTGAGGAATCACCGCCCTGTTCAGTGGTCATTCACTATCTCATTTGCTGAACAAATACCTATAAGAAGAGAATAGCATGAAGTAGGCCATAAGCAAAATTCTAGGCTACCATGGAGTAAAGAAGCACGTTGTGACAGGTCCAAATCCCTCTTCTATCTGCCACACGTAAAAATAAATGTTGCCTCTTCATCCTCCCTGGAAAGGTAAAGTCATCCCCTCTGGGACAAATGGGCTACTGACCAGTGGGCTTGTTGTTTGCAGGCAAGCACGTGGCACTCCAAGGAAGCCTAAGGCAATACAGAAATACCGGCTGGCCCCCCAAAAAGTTCCGAACTTCGTGCGGCTGCAGACATCACCATGCAAAGCATCGTCTTGAAATTTTCAGTATGTCATACCCAATATAGGTAGAGGGCTTTCGGAAGATATTTTCAATGAAATTCCTTGCTCTGAACATGAGTAAGATCTCTTTCCGTACAAGTCGTCAAATGAGCAAGTGTGTCAGTGCATTTGCTAGCGTGCTGCTTCGGCGGGCGATTTAAGGACACATCCATGGAGGACCCATCAAGCAGTTCTTTCATTGAGTTCAGGCGTGTTTCTTTGCACACTCGTTCTTTTGTCATCGCGCGGGAGAAAAATTGTTACTCACGTAGTTTACAACCAATTCTAATGAAATTTTCGTTATATTACCTGCAAACATTGCAAGTAAAAGCTTGTAAATTTCCTGTCGATAACTCGATAATATGGTGCACTGTCTGCAGGCGTGTAAAGTTCGAACTTTTTTTTTGGGCCACTCGGTATTACTCTCATCTTTTATCCCAAGCGTACGTCAAAAGTAAGCGGAGAGTATGCGCTGATAGGTCGGTTGGAGAGACGCCTTTCCTCTGACTTCCTTCCCTTCCTCTTATACCATTAGTCACGCTATGCTACAAAGCAATTGGGGACGGAGTAACACACGCAGGGAGTCGTTGCAGATGCGATCATTATCTCTCTATTATCATATCGTTCTGAAAGGAGTATGTTCTGTCCAGTCCCTATTTGATTCCTCCCAAGGGATGCATTGCCGCCAAAGAATCAGGGAGAAGCTCAGGGAAGGATTGCATAAAACTGACTAGGGCAAGGGTCAGGAACCTTTTTGGTCATGTGAGCCATATTAATATTGAGCCAAGTGCTTATGAGCGATATATTTTCAGAACAACAGAATTTTTCCTGAAGTTAGCAACAGGCATATATATTCGATACATGAGAAAAATTAGGAACAACCACGACTTTCAGTCATGGCTCAATGAGCCAAATTTTTCGGTTCGTGAGCCAAATTAGGCTCATGAACCATAGGTTCCCGACCCCTGAACTAGGTTAATAAAACTTTGAACCTCCTTTAAACCTACCTTAGAGGCCTGCCATAATCACAATTGAATCCCAATATGAATCTGACTTGCAAATAAAAACTGAACACAATGACAAGACACAAGATTAACAAGTGCCAATCACAGGGGGAAGTGAATGCAAGTACGGTAGTGAAAGAGAGGATAGCTCTCTCTTTCGCTTGGATATCTATCGTCTTGGTCATTGAAGATGCCAGTCTGGGGCAAGTCCAACAAATTAATTATTATTCAAGGTCGACGAGTCCGCGTGGCAGAGGGAACAGAACAGCGGGGAGGGCAGAGGAACTCCTTTGCATCGCACTGTACTTGTGTAGTGCAATCACGCAATTATTGAAAGTTTTGTTCTGTCCATCACATTTTCCCTTAACTTTTATTACTGGCGATGACTGTTTTTCTTGAAACACCAGTCCTATTTAGACAGCATAAAATTCTAACTAGACTATGTGAGGCCATTTACAGAATATAGGGTCCCCCTATGGCCATTATTGACTAGGTTTGTCTTCAAGAAGGGAACAGAAACTAGGGCTGAGACTCCTGGAGGAAATTCTTCACCCTCAGTGATTCAACATTGCCGATGACCTCCACAATAGAAGGCAATATGCATGGTAGATCTGAATCTAAACAGGGTTATAATATAACATATAGAAAATAATTACAATCATTCCTATTTAAACCAGTCAGAAAAGGCTTCCATCACTCCGCCTCTTTGTTCCGAACATTATATGCCGATAAAAACCAACGGTAGAAAAAATTAACGGCCGACCCTTTCATGAACCAGCTCTTTGCTTGTCGCTTCGCTTCCTACCATCAATGGCGACCTTTCAATCCGATACACAAGAGCTTCAGGAGTATAAGGTAGCTTAAACCTTAAATGTTAGTGTTGCTGATGTATGTCGTTCATTACGAGACAAAATGTCCTAAAAAGTGACTTTCTTGACTAGAGAATAAGTGATTCCTGCCACAATCCACACTTAGTTGCATGGGAATTCCCATAATTTATTTTTTCACTACTGTTATTTTCTAGTGCACTACAAGAACAATCTAGCCCTTTCACCAAGGATTAGAATACGTCTCCCATCAGGGGTCTGTTCCTCGCCTCTGCTTAGCTTAATCTAAATCTAAATCTAAATCTTAGGCTAAATCTTAGCCTAAATCTAATCATTTGCTTTTATGCTGCTTTTAGAGTAGATTAAGTTTAGGCTCAGCTTTAGATTTAGATTTAGACTTAGATTAAGTTTAGCAGAGGCGAGGAAATGGCCCCTGGGCCCCGTTCCTCACCTCTGCTAAACTTGAATCTAAATCAAAATCTAAATCTAAATCTTAGTCTAAAGGGTCAGGGTGAAGAATAGACTTTTTGCTTTTAGACTGCTTTTAGACTGCTTTTAGATTTAGATTTAGATTCAAGTTTAGCAGAGGAGAGGAACAGGCCCCAGGTCTGGACTAGGTATCTGGGTATTTAATTTAACATCAAAGAAGATATTATTTCTAATTTGATTTACATTATGCAGAACAATTAATGGTTTCACATCTCTCCTTCCTCTCATAGCAGTTCCTCCATAGTTCTTAGGCAATTTCTATTGCAAGCAATTTTTTATTACTATGGAGTGGATTGAGATGGAATTTTAGGCTTTCCGGGCGGTCAATTGCACAGCGTTGTTTCAAGGGTAAGGCGAAGGAGACGTCAACGGAGGGCAGCGAGAAAAGTGTAAAATGTCACCATAATCTAAAACTACATCTGCAGCCTAAACAGCTGTGGCCCAAACTCGCCTTTTCCCTGTAGTCGAAGGTTCGGAAAATACAGGTAAAAGAGGTTTGCCGGGTGGGGGGACGAGGAAGGTTACGTGTCCGAAGGTCTGAGACCTGAAACATATTAGCACCTCTAGCATGCACAAGATAAAGCCAATGCAATACATCTACTGCAGCACAGGAAACAACGATCCTCGTCACCTGTCAAAAAGGACACAGTATCTTAAGCGAAGGATATCGTGTATGGAAATCCCCAGCATTCAAGGAAAGTGCCCTGTGGTTATTTTTACGTAGTAGGAAAGAAAAATCCGATTGCAGTTCCGAGCTAGGGAGGGGGATATATTTTTGACTCCTGATAAGTTTTAACTGATAAGTTAGAAAAGAAATTCCTGATAAAGCAACTATTGGTTCCTCCCGTGGATTTCTATGGTTCCTCACATGAGAGAAACTTAAATCAGCAGGAATTGCAATCATGTCATTAAAAGAAATAGTAAGCCTGAATAGCTTTAATACGGTAAAAACACAGGATTCTTGATGTTCCTCGTAAAACCTATATGAATGTAATTTTGCATTGTGTAAACTTACGTGAACCACTGTGGTGCAAACATGCCTAATGGAATTTACCAGTTACTGCTTAACCCTCACCTGATTTGTTTCTTGCGGGCGTTTTTCGACAGGCACGCGAGGTCGTGAAAATATTGCCTGGTATTTTTTGTTACGACTTCTCTCTTAAATAAATAATAAGTAAATTGCAAATAACAGGGAATCTTTCCATGTAACTCTTGGGAATATTGGTCAAAATGCAAACGTTAGGGAAGCAGTTTTCACTGCGGAAGTTTCACAGAAGAAACGGCAGGTGTCAGCTTTTTTCGCCTACTGATCGGCTAAATAGAGAAAGGGACATCAGTGTGCGAAGAGACCCCTGTTAATGAATATGACATCGACTTGAATATGTTACAGAATCAGCTTGATTTATATGAACAGGAAACATTTTTAAAATTCTTTGGAGCACCACCAATAGAGACCGCCCCTGGCCACCCGCCAAACTTCCCCGTGTTCTGAGCTATTCACTTCATGAATAAATGCATTGCGGAATGTGAATGCTACGCTGAAGCTAGCCTCAATAGAAAGCATTGGTTTCCATTATTTCCATAAACCATGACTAAAATTACCAATCGTTATCTCTTCGGCATTTTTATGAACGACTCCGCGCGAGAGATTCGGAGCAGCGCGTGGCTCTATTTAGGAGAGCCAATCACAGACGAACATTTAGCTCTGGAGATTGTTGCAGTGGCTCTCAAATTTTTTTTGTGTTTCCCCTCTCGTCGTTCCTTTATTTTATGAGACACAGTTGAAACTTATAGAACTATTCACTATGCTTCCCAGTCTTGCCTATGCCAAACATGAAGCTCATACAATGTCTCCTGAAAGATTTCCACCATTATGTCACCCGACATTTTTACTGGAGCAAACCGGATGAGGGTTAAAGGTTTCAATAATAGCAAGCAACTCTTGTCCAATGTAGAGGGGTGATTGCAGGATATGAATGAATCGCAGTTTTTCATGTTCCAGCATTATGCAACACTGAACCATCATTCATGAAAGTGCAGAGGAGAAAACGGAGATTTCTTTTCAGTAATTATCTTCAACAGTCAAAATAACAGCGATTTCATGCTAAGAATGTAACAATGAATATGAACTTTTTAGAGAAACATTATTGTACAATGCAAGGATTCCGAGGAGGTTATACTATCTGCAGTCCTGGATCTTCACAATTCCCGTCCTGATTTTACATTGTTTTATATGTTCAGTAGAAAATGTCTTTCGTGGCTGAAGTAAAACAGCGGGAACAGATTAAATTCGAAAAAGGGGACAAGTTCTGAGAGACAGTAAATGCAAATCGAAGATTTAGCAAATGTAAATCGTCCCA